AGGGGGCAGGGGGGCGCTTGCCGAGGGTTAACTGGAGCCAGGACAAGAGCGCGTGCGCCTAAGTCGCGCCGCCTAATCCCTTGAAAGCGCCCCGCCCACCCCGCCGCTGTGTTTGGCGAAGCGTCAAACAATTTCGCCCTTTGGTTAAACGCGACGAGAAGTAAATAAAATATCCCTCCGTGGCGGGAGAAGGAAGGACAGGGTGCGACAGAGGAAGGGACTTGCGAGGTGAGGTTGGCAAACAGCAACTTTCGTGCCTTCGCTCATCGCTTCACTGCGTTTCGTAACGTCGACGTCTTTGTCCCTTCGTCTTATCTCGTTTCCCGACAGGAGATTCGTTCCTTTGCGATGACTGACTTCTTTTCCTTGTTTCCTGGTGGGCTTTTCTTTGTTATCTCGTAATTCATTTATAATTCATTATTTTATAATTGCATTTTCCCTTCTATTTTTTTCTGTTGCGCCACGTGCACACTCACTCTCTTCACTGTGATTTTACTCCGCAATTCTCTTACTTATTTTGTGTGTACAAAGTAATTTCAATCTTTGACACATTTAGCTAAAGTAATATTATGTGTTAGTAACGTAAATTCTCAAAGGGATAATATATTTTAATGACGATTACAGCTATTTGAATGTTAAAAAATTAAATATCCACGAAGATCAGTAAAATTGTTATAAATAGCAGAAATACATTTTTAAATAATTTACTACAATTAGTTCTAAAATGAAACTTTATTTAGTGATGAACTCGTTTATAAGTAGTGGAATATTATTGTAAAATCACAAGGTTTTCGAAATATTACTTGGTTATACGTAACCGAGTGCTTGTACCTGAAATTTGAAAATCAAGTTACTAGAATTATTTTATGTCTTTAATCAATAATTTTTGTACGTGGATATTTTGCTCATATTTCAATGTACTGCTCGATACAAAATTATTTTTAGATGAATTGTTACACCATTATAATAATTGAGTGTGTGGTAGAGCGAAGTATTTAATTTAATCGGTTAAATTCATTTAATTTCTACAAACCACATTCTCTAACTTTCGCGTTCTGCTCTCGTCTTGTTTCGATCCACTAACCCTCCCCACCTCATCGAAGATTGAAACCCGGACATCGATGCTTTAACAGGCAATTGTTTCGAAAAGTCTGACGCGAGACGGAGCATGCCCCGGTGCCGGAGACAATCGAGGAATTCGCCCTCCGAAAAGTGTGTTAAAGTCTGCCAGGGTTAACTTTTGCCGTACCTAATTACGCCCGGACGTCTCTGCTTCCCCCTGACGGCGACTCGGCAGAGGGGACCCTGTTCTCGTTCCCCACCTCTCACCGAACGCTCTGTACTTTACCCTCCCCGTCTCCATCTCTCTGTCCCTTGTCCGCATCTCCCTGTTTGACGATCCCCGTACTTCTCACACCCCGTCCTTGTCCCTCTACCCTGACCCCTCTCCGGCCTATCTCCCCTCACACGTCTTTTCCCTTCACTACCGACCCTCCCTTCGTCACCAGTACCAGCTTCTGTCCCCCATGACAGTACATCGTTCTACCGTCTACCGTTCTCATATCCCCGTCCCCACGCCTCCCCTTCTACAACCCCTTGGCACCCTCTCGGTGCACCAGTCTCCCTATCTTCCTATCGTTCCTTACCTCCTCCTTTCCCCCATAACTCTGATCTATCTATCTCTTTATTCTCCCATCCTGTCATTCTCACTCTCCTCACTCCCACTCCTCCCTCTTTGACAGTGTCTTCGCACCCGAATTCTTCACAAGTACTCACCACTGTCCCGTTCTCATCCTCCTCCTCCTTTCTTCCCCTCCCCCGCTCCCTATTCCAAGTTACGTTTGGGTCCCTTCCCCTTCACTGCGCGACCCCTTCCCCTCCTTCGTGTGACCCCCTCCTCGTTCCGCCCAAAGCCCCTCGCGCTCCCGCCCTTGAGCAATACTCCGCTTGATTCGAAAAGTTTCGGACGAGGAAATTTAATTGTAAAATTTCTGAGAGCTGTATCTCTGCGCCGGTAACGAGGCATTGTTTTAACGCAGTTCTTCCACCGGGATATTCATGCTAAATTCGTCTTAATCCTTTAGCATCTCGGCCTTGCGAAGAATACTTCATCTGAGGCGCTGTGTACAGGACGAGAGAAAGTTTCGTAGTCTGCGCTTTGCTCCGTTTGACTTTTTGACCAAGTCTCGCCTAACTCTTGTTCTCGACGCTTTCCGCTTTTTTTCTCCTTTAGATGTAATTCAATGTATCGGGAACCTTCTGCATATTTGAAGCTGTTGCCAGCTACAAGGCGTTTCCGAAATACGAAATAATTCTTGAAAAAGAGATAGATCTTTTACTGTACGGAAGATATCGGAACGAGAAATGAGAAATGTTTAATCTCTCTTGAGGAAAAATTTAATGCACAGTCTGAATTAAAATTAACAATAACCACATCATTGAGACATTTTCGTGCTATTTGTGGATGGATTTTTATTTTTATATTTGAGAAATATTGAAATTAAAATGTTTTATCAGCAAAAAAATAAGTTTCACTTTACAGGTACATCAGACAGAAAAGTCATTATTTTGTTATAGACATGTTTGATTCTTTATAAAACGCAAAGGATTGAAAAATACGTCACTCAAATTCACAATTTCATTCCAAAGTTTATAAAAACTATGTCAATAATTACAATGTTTTTAATGTATACATTTAATGTGTGAAATTTTACTCTCGTTTTCAGTGCACATCTCTTATTCTACGTATTAATTACTAACACATTTGCCGTTTCGTTATAATAATATTTTGAAATGAATTCTGAAAAAAAACGTCAAACTAACGAACAAAGTATTATTGTGATGTCGACATGTAGTGAGTGAGGCGATCCTGATGAAGGAAATTTAATTCACATAACAGGGTTTCCAAAAACTATAATTTGAACGTAATGTTTTTATTTATTTAAATCTACTCTTCTTTTGCAAACATTAATTTTAAAACCATAGTTTCCAAAATATCAAAGTTAACATAAAGATTGAAAGAACTAAGCTGTGCATTACCACTACAAGCCACCATAACAGAAGAGAAGATAGCCACTACCTGTTGATACAAGAAACATTCCAGGGCACATTAATATGTGTAGAAATTTTATTTATGCGGAAGAAATTATTTAAGAAAGACGGTTTCGTAGGTTTTGAAAATATTAGTTTCCGTTTCACAGGATTTAAAAATGATGTTGGATTTTTTTCAGGAAATTAAAGATTATATTTTGTTGGTTTTAAAAATTAAAAATTGGATTTAGTTGTTTTAGAAATGAAGGAATGGATTCCACAAATTTCTAAAACAAGAGATTAAGCTTCATCGGCCTCGAAACGATTGAGTTTTTACTTAACCAGTTTTTAAACTGATCTATTTGAACTTAATTTTGTTATTTTAATAATAATTTTCTACCGGTTCTTATGGCCGAGATCATTTAGGCAGTAGTGACACAGCGATCTCGGAATGAAAGATCGCGGGTTCGAGTCCCGCCTCTTGTCTGGTTGTATTTATGTTCGTCCCTTCACCTCCTAATATCACCATATCAAGTCATCTTCAATTATTATACCTCTAAATGCAATCGTGGTCGCTAATGACATAGATGTTGATGCAACTTTTAAAAAAATTTAGATTTCTGCTGAATTCAAATATTTGATCGTTTTTGGCTGAACATGCATTAAAGTCAGCCCTTCATTTACAGAGAGTAACGTTTTCGGTCTGTGTGCGCAGGCGCGCTGCCGCTGCGGTTGCTGCGCGTGGAAATCCCGCAGTACAAGCTGCGCGGGGAGTCCGCCATTCTGCAGTGCCACTACGACCTGGGCGACGACGTGCTCTACTCCGTCAAGTGGTACAAGGACGACGAAGAGTTCTATCGCTTCGTGCCCAAATCGACGCCGCAGCTCACCTCCTACCGCGTCGAGGGCGTCAAGGTCGATGTAAGTACTTGATTGACGTGCCTTTGCATACCGCTTTGAATATTACAGCAGGGCTGCTCGTATGCAGGGATTTGGAACAGACTAAACAGAGATAACACTAAGAATGTAACTCTTTGACAGCTACTACTCATTCTACTTACAGGTTACACCATACACTCAATTCGACAATGTGTTCATTTGCAGTTAGTTCACTGGTGGTCATTATTGACACAACTTATAATACCATCGTCCGACATGACGTTCATTTGTTTTGTTTTTCACCCCTTCAAAACGGTTCCTTCTTAGCGCCTCTTTACTCGGCGACTGTGAGCAGCAATTTGGAGTCGCGCATCAGCTGAAAAATCGTCATTGTAAATGAAGGTATTTACAGGAGCGGCGCAATCGCGCTGTGGCGCTTTCTGGCGAACTCGCGCTAACATCCCACATGCACATCCGCGCTACCGCCGGTAGAAGACAACATTCACACTAGGTCACTCGGATGCACTACTAAACGCATGTGTAGTTGTTGACTGCTTTGCGGCAACCGGCGCCCACGCTCAGTGGCGGTGTGACATACGAATCCTTCCTTTCCCACGCTGAGGGGCTCTTGTCGGTGGCTCCATCGAGTGACCCGTGTGAAGGCGGCCTTATCTCTGTGTCGGCGAAGGTCCGCTCGAGCCATTGGCCTTTCACTAGACTAGATGCGAGTGTCCAAGCGCCTCCCTCCTGTCGCGCTAACTCAACAAGCAGCGGGCCACGTCGGTTGCCCGCAGATAATCGCTGGACCAAGGCACGCCAAGTTGGCCGTTCACTTAAGCAACAGTGGATTACAGAACTCATCCGTAAATCTGCAAATGAAGCTTTGAGAACAAGAAAACCCAAAGCCATAAAAAAGAAACCTTGCAGGAGCGCAAAAAACAAAACAAAAAAATGACGATTAGTCATAAGTATAGATGTGTACAGACTTGTCCTAAATATTAAGGAAAGTCTTTAGAACCCTTTATCCATCGAATATATTTACAGTTCCCCTTCTCATACTACAAATATGAGACAAATCATTGGACAAAAATATATAAAGGTTTGGGTATACATCATCCTCAACACGTAAAATGCAAATTAACGAGCTCATGGTCTCCTCTCAAGAGAGTTTTGTCTTTTTTTGTACTCTAAATAACAGCCATTTTCGTATTTTGCGCGTGAACCAAATGAAGTGAGAGTGCAGCCACAAGCCTTACGGCATTGCGCGACGCGTGGAAAATGATTGTAAAATGAGAGTAAACCATATGCTCCGCATTTGGGAACGAAAGAATCATAAAAAAAATTATGTTCTAAAAGAAAAAAAAATATCAAATCATTTTAATGTGAAGTGTGATAGTAAAACAAAAAAGGGGATTATACGTTCCACGTATGAAAAAATAAATCTAATGAAACATAGTAAAATGTAGCTGTAATTATTTTTTCTCATTACATTTGTTGCTGTTAGCTGCGAATGGTAGGAGCATTTCGTTTTTAACTTTGCAATCCAAAGAGATTTGTTATAAATAAAACGTAGTTCTTTTTCATATTCTGAACCATTTGCCATGATGCTGGATTCTGAACCATGTCAAGGTTTCTAGTTTCCTTTTTGAAGAGATAATTGCCGTATTAATACGTGGAGCTTGCGTCTTTAGTTTTCTCATACACAACATCCCGCCACTTGTACGTGGCAAAGAGTAGTGCGTTTACGAACGCACTTGCACATGTTTCTGCAGTTAGAAATCTCTGCTCCCTATGTTTAGTGATAAAAAAGTGATGGCAATAAAGTAATGGGTGAGTTATTTGGGAATTTATATGCCTATCGATTTGTTCTTAAAAATTCCACTAGAAGAAATATAAAGTTGATAATTTAAACGTTTTTGTGATTGACGTCACATTCTACCTTTTCTTTATGGAAGTTACAGATATTAGACAAAGATGCAAAAAATGTATAGAAAAGTATTTTATTCTTTTAAATGAAAACCTAATGGTTTGATATTCATTTTTGGGGTTCATAATGATATGTGTGAAAATTAACAAATCTATAACTCTTTGAAGAGTAGATTACCCGCCGTGTTATTTTATTTGCGAGGAAACATTCCATAATATAAATCACTCAAATTGGCGCACAAGCGCTACTCACTTTATCTTTGTCCACAATATTCAGGTAATAATTATTCTATGAGTTCGAAATAATAACAATAATATCCGCCCGCAGTCTGGGCGTTCCAATGAATAAATCAGTCTATTTTATTTGCGCAGGAGCCACAATTTTACTTTGATAATGCGGCAGCGTATGCCCACTTCCGGCGCGCATTTGCAAGGGGAACGCGAGCCCACCATTACGATATCAAAATTCGAACACAGGCCAAAACACATTTCCGCCTATAAAGCAACGAGTCCATAAATTCAATTTGCAGTCCGCAACTGTTTCGTTGCCCTATTTTTCCATGTGTGCCGAAATTCGTTTTTAATCCGTCCGCTCGCGAAATTAGCACGTTCCTCCCGTCCCCTCCCCGCCCCCTCGTGGCCTGGTCGCCCCCGCATTCGCCATGTCGTCTATGAATATTCGCGGCCGACGGGAGCGAGCCCCGCCACCGATCATGTTACGCTCAATCGTACTTTCAATTCATTGCCTACCCGATTCTAACCCGGTCCGCGTATGTTCACTAGTTAATTAACCTCGTGTGTACATACTAATTACAAATTGTGTATAATAAATTAGGGTTGATACATACGCTTTCTCTTTCAAGTGGCTTTATCGCTGTATAAACGGTTCCTCCGATATTAACTGCGTGTTAATTAACGAACATTCCGGCTAATGCCGTATCCGATTCCACCCCTTCCCTTCGGTTCCCCGTCCGTCACCTCCTCCCCCCCCCGGTTTCCTCTTGCGCCCCCCTCCCCGCACTCCCCGTCCCCCGTCGGTAACGAGTATGGACAATTTGTACCTTCATCTGTTTTTAAATCTGGCTCTATCCGCGGGTATCTGTGTCCCGGCTGCGCCTACGGCCAAATCCGCCTGGCCTGTAGCCATCTGATTATGGCTCCTCCACACCACTATCCCGCGCGCCGCGCGCGACGCTATAAACAGCACATGTGGGAATGTGCGGCGGGCGGGGGGGGGGGGCGGCGGAGCAAGTCCCATATGCCCGCAGAATCGGGGTCGCCTAATGTGCTCATTATACTGTCGAATGCGCGGCGTGCAGATATTGCTGACTTATTTAACGACTGCGCAGTAGGATGCCTTACTACCGACGGAGCTCATTTGCTGGTCCGCTCGGGGCTGGTATCGGAGGAAGCCGGGCTCTCCTCGGATCGACGCCGACATAGTTCAGCGATAAGAAAAAAACGCATCAAACACCATAATTGAGTGAAATAAATGAGTATTTCTATATGTTTTTCTTAACCAGATTTTTATCTTAAATAAGCAAAGACAGCGTTATCATAACAAACAATCATCGCTTCCGAAAGTTTTTAAACCTTGACATAATATAATGCTGAATGAAAGCGTTGGAAAACATTTGACGTCAAGAAAATTTGCGATTTTCACCTGCACGTTGTGATCTATCATTTTTTAATTGAGAGTTGTTTGCATGTAAATTGAATGTTTATGATTTAGATATACATTTGTTGAAAAAATTAAGTTTCTAGAGTAAATGCCGCCAGCAAAGAAAAAATCTACCACTAAACTGCCAAATCTTTGAGCGGAAATAAAAAAGGAAATGCCATCCGCCGTCGGTCACCTTTCAAAGGTCCCGGGGAACTGCGAAAAAAAGAGCGTCCGCTGAATTATGCAACAGTGAATGAAAGGCGGGCGGTGGGGACTCGAAAGAAAGTCGGTTTTGCGGGCGTCCGTTCCCTGCTCACCGCCGCCGTTGCTGCAACCACCACTTACCTGTCATATCGCACTCTCCGTGTCCTCATTCTCCCCCGCTCCCGCCCTCATCTGTTCAAACTCACCGCTAGTGTCCCACCCCGTTTGCGACTCCGCCGCAACTCCTGTCCGCGTCGCCGACCTGCCGTCGCCACCGTCTCCAACGTCCCCACCGTCCCCACAACACCCCCGTCCCCTCTCCGGCCCCAACCCCATCTCACCGACGTTCCCCCCTCGTCCTCGTCTCGCGCCCCCGCCTCTGACCCGCCCTATCCCACCCGTGTCCATACTCCGTCTTCGTCCGCGTCTTCCCCTCGTCTCCGCCTTCCATCGACGTCCCGGCGCCGCCTCTTCCGCCTCGCCTCTGAGGCCCACCCCGTCCCCGCCCTCACCCCCTCTTTCCTTATCAACGCCTTCACCCCCCACGTCCGCCTCCCTCGCCGTCCGCCGCCTCTACCTCCCACCGCGTCCCCACGTCACCCCAGTCCCACGCTCGCGTCGCCTGCTCCCACCGCTAGCTTCCCAACCTCGCTCCTTAAATACGTCCCCGTTTTCCCTCGCCCTGCCTCCACCCTCGCCCCGTCTTCCCCCCGCCGGCTTCCCCCGGTTCTCACCTGTTGCCCGCCTCTCCCTTGCCGCGCTCACCACCCCTTACCCGTCACGCATACGCAGCCCCCGCTGGCGGACTTCTTCCCATCCCCCCTCAGCGCGTCGAAAACCGCCGCGCGCTGCCGCACCGCACAAAACACAGCTAAGGATAAGACTCGCGCCCTTTTGCGCGCCGCGGGCTGTAGTCCAGGGCTTAATTGTGCTCACCCAGAATAAAACACGGCGCGATTAGGAAATATTTGCCAAAGCGGAGCCTGCCGTTATTTTCAGACGCGCGCCGGCGACGATCTGCATTTCCCAAAGAGGCGGTACGACCTCCCCGCCCGCTCCCACGCACCGTTGTACGAAGCGGGTTGCGGTCACCTGGCTTCGCCAGCCTGCTGGCCCTTTGGGGCTTCTCTGCGTTTGCCCAGCGGGCCGTCTCCTCGCAGCGGCATTTCGTTCTTCCGATTTTAATTTCATACGCCGATACCTTCCACCTCTATCGCTTTTTCCCTCTTCAATTTTAAAATTTCCGCTTAAAGTGATATATCCAAACCACTCTTTTCATTTCGAACCTTTCCCCATTCGAGTACATCTGCCTTATCTTGAAGGCTATCACCGTCGCCTGTTTCCCATTTCTGCGCTCTGCGTCTCTGGATTTTCGCGCGTTCCCTTGCTGCAGTCGTCAGATTCAGTTCTACGTATGATGACATCATACCACTTATCTTCCACTCATTCCAACCTCTACTTTAAAACATTCCCTTCCCCTTTCCAATTATTATTCTTCCCTTATTTTCTCACACTAAGTCTACTCAGTTTTAATCCGCAAATCATCCAACAGGAAAACTCATTTCGCAACACCGTCCCCGTCTTCTTCCACACCCGTTCTGATCTCCCTCCTATGTGTTCTTCCCGTGTCATCAGACGCTTTTAAAAATGCTCCACTCGCTCTTGTTCCCTTTATCACATTCCCAACTCATCATTACTTCCCCACGTTGTACCTTTAGCCACAACGTACATGCCATCCTGGGGAGGACAGGGGCCGCACTGCTCGGCTTTCGAGTCCCGGCTTCCCGGAACTCTCACGCTCTCCGGCTCCCCCCACAAGGCCTCCGCTGTACGGGCGTGGCCTGAGCGGGTGTGAGGGGGGGGGCGGGGCTCACGCTGTGAGGCCGCCACGTGGTAGACGTGGCCGGTCACCGGGAATATTAATTCCAAGCCTCGTATCGCAGAATTATACTCACCGCGTCGGCGCCGGCTCCGTCCGACGGCGCCGAAGAGGCTTGTGGAGGGGGGGGGGGCGGGGGAGCAGGTCTGTCCGCTGGTACGTTCGCGAGTTGGCGAGGGGGGTGGGGCAAAAAGGGCGCGGTGATGAGCGACGAGGAGCGGTGCATGACGCCGATGTGCAGCGCCGCCCTCTGCGGTCGCGCGCCTCTTTGCCTGCGGCCGGCTGCTCGCTCTAATCGAATCGCTCACCCCCTCCACCCCCCACTCACTCCGTTCTACCTTTCCCTCTCGGCACTTGCGCTGGGTGCGGCATCGTTCTTTCGTTCGCTTGTTCGATTGATTGTTCCTTTGTTCCTTCGTTTGTTGGTTGGATCGTACCTTTGCACCATTGACCGTTTGTTGATTTCTTTGTTTTTCATCGATTGCTCGTTTTTTTGCTTCTTCGTTTCTTCGTCAGCTTACTCACACTTTCCTGAATATAGCATTTTTTTTGTTCATATATTCGTTTACTGTTCTTCCTTGTACTCAATCATTGGTCAACTATTGTTACATCAAGTCATTTCTGCCTTCGTTCTTCATATTTGTTTTTCAATCATTCGTTTTCTCCTTCGTTTATTTATTTATTCATTGGCCAATTTTTTAATCTCAATGTTAGCTGATTGGATGTAGACAAAATTTGCGCGTTTAGTTGCGATAGATTTCCTTATCTTTCGCTTGGAATTATCGTAAACGTTTCCAGCTTATTTAACGCCTAGTGTCGTTCTTGACTTGTTTTTCGATTGTAGAAAGTGTATTTCGTTAGGGTTTTTTCTTCGATTTCAAATTAATTTAATTGTGTGGTTATCGATCAGTGTTTTAATAAACAGTCACTATTACTAACATTACATTTTGTTTCAATTTCTGCCCTTTCTACGTATCTTCTTTTTCAACTCACCTGCTAGTTTTATAGTTTATGTTTCTGGCTAATAAAAGCGGAAGTAACTTCAGAAGACATCTTGTTCCAACTACCTAACTACCTTATAATTATTTTCAATGTGAAATATTTGAAACGTTTTAATTTTTCAAACAGCGCTATTCTCAATATGTAAAGTCAACACAAATTTGTCATAAAATTTTCTTATTTATTTGCTTCTTATAACGTAAACATATTTCAATTAGAAGATTAAGGAAGCCTCTGTTCATCATATGTGAAATCTCTATTAATATTGAACAGTGGCTCGTAAAAGCAAACTCATTACATCATTAGTGAACAAGATTACATGACAACTGAAAAGATATTTCAATTCCATCCAATAGATTGAAATTACTTTATTTACGAAAGTTAGCAATTTACCTGTGGTTATTGAATGTGATACAATTCCGTTGTATTACTGAAATTTTAAAAGTACTCAATCTTGAGGATAGTTTCAGACCAGCAAACAAACATTGAAGGATTGAGTCCGACAACGTACTTAAACAAAGTATTGTTTTTCTAAATTATTTCAGAAAGTATATTATAGTGTGATGAAAGTAAGTGAAAGATCAAAGAATAGTTATATTTATACTGATTATATTTAAACATTTTGTAAAGTTTAGTCATTAAGTTTGTAGAAATAACTCCAAATTTTTTGCACGTTTCATAAATTTAAAAAAAGTCTTACGAAAAATATGTTTCAAAATATATTAGAAATGTTTTGGCACGACAAGGAAATATAAAGCTTTTAATTCGTGCATTCGTATGAAAACCTAAAGCGACAAAGTCAGGCTCTTTCAGTGTTCCTAATTGTGAGTCTCAAAATTTTCGATGAAGGGAGAGGGTCTTGACATTCAGCATATAGGAATAATAATATATAAATTATTTTTCATTTAAACCGTTACACTAACCATTTATGTAGGTGTGTTTTAGTGCATAAAATATACCGGAATGCCAACACAGTGTAAAATGCTCCTGGGGCATAACTGTGAAAGATAAGTTCTACTACAAATATATTAAAATACCTTTTTTCAACACACTAATATTTTTCGTTATTTAAAACAAATTTTTATTGCTGAAATTACTATTCAGTTATGATTGTCGTTCCGGGAACTAAAAGTAATTACTTCGTTAATGAAGCGAGCTAATGATGGCGTTGACAAGGCTGGCAATTAATAATAGTGATTGCTCTATTGGATCTGGTCCCCATCCTGGAGATGACAATGCAGGTAATCAGGTGGAGAACTGTGCATTGTGGGATGTGGTGTGGTTATGTGGCATCTTTGATTATGACATTTGCGCTATGGCGGCGGCAGCGGCGGCAGCAGCATATGTGGCTGGGTCCGCTACGACGACACGTGTGTGTTGGGAGGTAATGTCTAATTAGGGTTGCACGGCGACGCCGCCAGTGTTGGAGGTTGTACTAGCGGTGACTACATGAACTGATACGAGCATTCTAAATCTATTGCAGGACTTTATTGCCGGATTATCAAGACATTACTCCAACGCAAGAATATGTTGCTTAAATACACGATCTGATAATTTTACATTCACGTAATCTGATTTGCTATTGCATTTGTTAATGTGCTTCCAATCTGTCCCTAAAATAAATTATTATTTTGTGGTTATGAATAATTAATAACTAAAACCGGTTGCCCCAACAACCAGACGTGGCAACCAATACTTTGAACAAATTAAATTATTATAATGCATTGTTACTCAGTAACGTGGTTACAATTTGTATTTCTTTACGACTGCGGAATATATTTTCCAAGGTAACGGGATGGTGAAAATTATATATAATAATTAATGACGTTTTGGAATTAATTATTTCTATTAATTTACAAACTGTTTCCAAAAGAACATTCAGTAAATTGCTTCTTATTAATAAATTACAAGGATATTGCATAAACGTAACAAAGTGTACCACAAAAATAATTAAACCGGAAAGTGTAACATAGCACACGTAGATTCTTGCGCTATTGAAGGATTTTACGTTTGACCAACAGGAAGATATGAAATTTCGGTGGTTCTTTAATTTCACTTCGAAAGGGATTTCCTGGTGTTTTATTTCTTGAATTTTGTTTTTGATGGAGGGGTCTTAATTCAGATTTACATAGAATCTCGAATGTGATTGGCATAACCTAATTGTTTCTATTGTTGCTATGAAAAAGATTAATTTGTTTAGCAAGGTCAAGTGTGAATGGCGATTGATTTACCATACGATGTGAGAAAATGTTTAATAGTGTTTCATTCTTTTCTTATTGATATGATATTTTTCTACTTTAACATTGATCGAGATGTAATACCATTGTTTGCTTATTGAAAGTATCGTTTTTAAGTTTCATTTATTATCAGATTGAGATGTGTAAATTTGGTTTGGATTTTGGGGCATTTGTTTGTGTGCATCAGCGTTATAACCTTTGCTACAGAACCGTGATCTTGAAAATTTTGATGCGTAATTTGCATCTTCATATGATGACAATATTGCGGTTTCGTCGACAAAGGTTATCACAGATGAAACATCATTTTGATAGCACACTAGTAAACAAGATGTAGCTCATGTCTCAAAGTACTACTACGTGTGACACCAAATTTAATAGTGATGAATATAATGTTTTATTCTATTTCATAACTGTCAGAGAGGAATCATTTCTATAGAGGATAATAATAGTTTGATAATATAAACTTAATTTCGTACATACGTATCTTGTAGTACCTACAATATTTTTTTAATAGTTAGTTACACTTTCTAAAAAATTGCTGAACTTTGTTTGGGTACGTGGTATTGAGTAAGTATGTCAAAACATATATGGTTTTGTTTAAGAGCTGAATGACTTTCTTTGAAACCGAAATGGAGGTCAGGTAAAACGTTCTTTAGAAGAGGCATTAGTCGTGGAATCAGGAGTTTTGTCGTAAAGTACAGCATTTTCCTTTTATTTTGCGTGAGAGTAAGTCTGAGAACTGTACTGGGGACTTCCATGGCTTCGTGCGCCGGTGAGCTACGCAGAGTACACAGAAATTTTCCAATTGTTCCAATGTATAATAACATTCTGTGGAACATACATGCATGTAAGAGAAGGTTATCTCAAATTAGCACCTACATCTTAAAGACTAACTAAAGAGGTTATGAAGAGAAAGTCGAAACGGGGGGAAAAAAACAAAAAAAAATATACACCATGGCATAAAATGAATGTGAAATGTGTTAACTTGTGAATAAAATCACTATTAAAATAATAGAGAGTTTTGAAGTTAATTCTTGAATTTCATTAAATCAAATTTTACCCTATACGAGCTAATCCAGATTTGTCATTTTAATTTCAGGATATTTTAATAATTAATAATTTGAGTCATGTTATAAGAAAGAAACGAAAAAATAAACATCAATAAAGGCGGTAGGTAGTGCTTTAAGACTTTCAATTAATCCATTTAATGGAGAACTGTTTAAAGGAGTAAATTTACGGATAATATTGCGAGAAAACGTTTTCCTGGCGGGATCATAGACTCTCTCTCTGGGTCCCGGAGGCGCAACGGGCGACGCGTGGCACCCGCGGTCGCCTCCTGCGTCGCCGTGACGCCTACGCAGGGGAGCGAGCGGCAGGGGCGTCGGGGACGCAGGGGAGGAGGGTTAAACCCTCGCGACACGTCAGGCGTGCGAGGGCAGGGGGGCGTTTCCGTGTATTAAACTTGGCGTCCGCCGCTGGCAAGTATTCGCGTCGTGGCGCGCGCGTGGATAACAGCGCGGCCTCGGCGCGTTTAGCGGAGACGACGTGGCGGCGGCGGTGGCGGCGGCGGCGCGGCGGTGGTGGTAGTGGTGAGGTGGCTTGGTGGTTGCGGCGGCGCGGCGGCTGTGCCAGAGGCGGTGAAGGGGCGGGTGGAGGCGGCGGTGGTGTAGTAGCGGTGGAGTGGGCGCGCCCGGGCGGTGTGGTGGCGGTGGGCGCAGACGGCGGGCGGCGGGCCGTGGTGTAGTAAGGGGGAAGGTGGCTTAAGCATCACGGCGGCCGGGGCGGAAGCGCGGCAGTGGGCCCAGAAAAAAAAAAAAGGTGGTGAAAGTGGCCGGGGTGGAGGCGGAGAACAGCGATGGGACCTGCGGCGGCAGCGGGGGCGGGTGGCGTGGGGTGGCGGTGGTGGCGGTGGTGGCGGCGGTGGGGCGGTGGCGTCGGTGGCGACGGGGTGGTACTAGCGCAGCGGGGGGGGGATGAGGGCGAGGGCCCTGTGCGGAGAAAGCCCGCGTTGTCCGCAAGGAGGCGGAAAAGACCGCGAGTTACGCAGTGAGACCCCTACGCCAGCAGCGGCTCTGCGGATGTCGAGAAAACGCCGTTAGTGTGGAATGATGGAAATTCAAACATAACCGCATTGTGCAAGGAAATGACTTTGAACCAAATTCGAGAATAAATGCAATACATCAAATCTTTAAATGGTAAACATAATTCAATGTTAAAATCAACTATGTAAATTTATTTTTTTTATTTTTTTCCTAGAAGTTCTTTTGTGTATAAATTTTTGTATTTGAGTTAAAATGTTTATAATTTTTTTTGAAAAAAATGTAGTGTTGAAAATTTAAATGTTTCAAATATTCTCGTATTTTCGTGTTTTGTTTTTGTCATATGGTTCAAGTGTAAGTTGCAAAGCCCCAGAATGTGCTTTAGTGTGCAATTTCATTTCTGCAGGTGTTCCAAAAAAAAATAAAAACCAAACATGTAAAAACAAAATAAGTTCGGATCTCCTTTTCAAAGCAATTACGGTCGTTTACTTAACACATAAGTCATGTATGCGGGGGTCGTAGACCTGTAGGTCAATCCAAGCATGACTCGAGAATGTAGAGAAGATTTTTCATAAAATTACTTGTTCAACGTCATTGGTACATTTCTATACACTGGTATCTACAATATTTGGAATCTTATTACCAAATCTGCGTCTTGTAAAAAGTAAAATATAATTTCATAAATGCAATAAAATGATTTAAAATAAAAACCAATCACAAACTTGACGGGGTACATTTCCAGAGGGAAAAAAGAATAGAATATACAAATTTAAATATCTGAAGGCAATAGAATGATCTAAGGATAACAGTATTTTTGTTAAATCTACTTACGGGTATCTTTTATAAGTGTTAATGCTAAAAAGAAGTATTATTGAATTTTGACACCTAAGAATAAATTTAAATCAATACTTTTTTTCTTGTAATGAAACATGAGTAAGTTTACATTGTCTAAAGCTTTTAGGCCTGTTTACACAT